CTTGAACTTCCAGAAGTCAATGTCAGTGGTATGCATGCGACCAACATTTTACAGATCTATTGTCAAGCAGCAGAGAGCATGAAGATGCATTGTGCATGCCATAGTATGCCAGCCGCTGTGTGCTATACAGATCAGCAAGAATTGAATTCTGAGTTTTACAAGTGATGCTGCTATTGATAATCTGAATATTATACTTGCAATTAAAGTGGTTGTAAAGGCTGAAGGTTTTTTTTTTTACCTTCATGCAACACAGTGGCTAAGTGGTTAGCACTTCTGCCTAGCAGCACTAGGGTAATTGGTTCAAATCCCAACCATGGCACTACCTGCCTGGAGTTTGCATGTTCTCCCTGTGCCTGAGTGGGTTTTCTCCCACTCTCCAAAGACATGCTGGTAGGTTAATTGGATCCTGTCTAAATTGGCCCTAGTATGTGTATGTATAAATGTAAGTTAGGGACCTTAGATTGTACACCCCTTGAGGGTTAGGGACTAATGTGAATGTACAATATATTGTATATGTAAAGCGACAGAACTACATAAGTACCTGTAATAAATAAAGGTAAAAAACCTTCAATGTGCAGTTCCCCCCTAATACTTACCTGAGCCCAGTCCCGATCCAGTGATGTGCACAAGAGCCAAGGCTCTCCCAGGTCTCTCTTTCCTCATTGGCTGAGACACAGCAATGGGAGCCATCGGCTCCTGCAACTGTCAGTCACAGCCAGGAGGGCTGGGCCATAGACACATAGAGATGGCTTGGGAGTGAGTATGCATGAGTGCCCCCAGAGCAAACAGCTTGGTGGGGGACCCAAGAAGAGGAGGTTCGAGGCTGCTCTGTGTAAAGCCATTGCACAGAGGAAGTAAGTATGACATGTTCATTAAAATAAAGAAAAAGAAAATCTGAACCTTTCTAATCATATACAGTTACCAGAATACTATAGTTTTTTGCTATAGTGGAATTTTACACTAAAAAAATTTTATACAAATAACTAAAAAGCATAAAGCACAACTTAAAATATGGAAACAATACAAAGTAAACAAAAAAATAGGGTTTGATAAATATTGTATTTTGTCTTTTAAAATTCATATGGTGTAGAGGTAAATTCTGCTACTAGTGATACACATAGAGGGCAATGACTCCTGGACATCCTTGACCTACATGTATAAACATTGATCTGTGTTTCCTGAAGAGCATATTATGCTGTTGGGTCATCGTTGGTGAAAGGTGCTGTACGTGACTGAATGGGAGCATAGTGAAACTGCCGTTACTAGATTAATACTTCCATCATCCCGGTATCAACATTTTCAGTTGGCAGTTCCCTGTAAAGAAGAAGTGATTCAAGTGATACATAGTTACATAGTTAGTCTGGCTGAAAAAAAGACAAACGTCCATCCAGTTCAAACATTAAAAAAAAAAGTTATATTCCTACACCCACAGTTGATCCAGAGGAAGGCAAAAAACCCCCAGCAAAGCATGATCCAATTTGCTCCTGCAGGGGAAAAAATTCCTTCCTGATCCCCCAAGAGGCAATTGGATATTCCCTGGATCAACTTTACCTATAAATGTTAGTATCCAGTTATATTCTTCAAACAAGATTGCTTCAAAAAAGAATCCAGGACTTTTTTGAAGCAATCCACTGAGCTGGCCAGAACCAACTCTTGAGGGAGTCTATTCCACATTTTCACAGCTTTCACTGTGAAGAACCCTTTCCGAATTTGGAGATTCAATTTCTTTTCATCCAGACGTAAAGAGTGCCCACTTGTCCTCTGTGATGACCTCAGGGTGAATAACTCTACACCGAGTTCACTATATGAACCACTGATGTATTTATACATGGAGATCATATCCCCCCTTATGTATTATACATGGAGATCATATCCCCCCTTATGTATTATACATGGAGATCATACCCCCCCTTATGTATTATACATGGAGATCATATCCCCCCTTACGTATTATACATGGAGATCATATCCCCCCTTATGTATTATACATGGTGATCATACCCCCCTTATGTATTATACATGGAGATCATATCCCCCCTTATGTATTATACATGGAGATCATATCCCCCCTTATGTATTATACATGGAGATCATATCCCCCCTTATGTATTATACATGGAGATCATATCCCCCCTTACGTAATATACATGGAGATCAAATCCCCCCTTATGTATTATACATGTAGATCATATCCCTCCTTATGTATTATACATGGTGATCATATCCCCCTTATGTATTATACATGGAGATCATATCCCCCCTTATGTATTATACATGGAGATCAAAACCCCCCTTATGTATTATACATGGAGATCATATCCCCCCTTATGTATTATATATATGGTGATCATATCCCCCCTTATGTATTATACATGGAGATCATATCCCCCCTTATGTATTATACATGGAGATCATATCCCCCCTTATGTATTATACATGGAGATCATATCCCCCCTTATGTATTATACCTGGCGATCATATCCCCCCTTACGTATTATACATGGAGATCATATCCCCCCTTACGTATTATACATGGCGATCATATCCCCCCTTACGTATTATACATGGAGATCATATCCCCCTTATGTATTATACATGGAGATCATATCCCCCCTTATGTATTATACATGGGGATCATATCCCCCTTATGTATTATACATGGTGATCATATCCCCCCTTATGTATTATACATGGAGATCATATCCCTCCTTATGTATTATACATGGGGATCATATCCCCCCTTATGTATTATACATGGGGATCATATCCCCCCTTATGTATTATACATGGAGATCATATCCCCCCCTTATGTATTATACATGGTGATCATATCCCTCCTTATGTATTATACATGGGGATCATATCCCCCCTTATGTATTATACATGGGGATCATATCCCCCCTTATGTATTATACATGGAGATCATATCCCCCCTTATGTATTATACATGGGGATCATATCCCCTCTTATGTATTATACATGGAGATCATATCCCCCCTTATGTATTATACATGGTGATCATATCCCCCCTTATGTATTATACATGGAGATCATATCCCCCTTATGTATTATACATGGAGATCATATCCCCCTTATGTATTATACATGGAGATCATGTCCCCCCTTACGTATTATACATGGCGATCATATCCCCCCTTACGTATTATACATGGAGATCATATCCCCCCTTACGTATTATACATGGCGATCATATCCCCCCTTACGTATTATACATGGGGATCATATCCCCCCTTATACATATACGTATTATACATGGGGATCATATCCCCCCTTACGTATTATACATGGAGATCATATCCCCCCATTACGTATTATACATGGGGATCATATCCCCCCTTATGTATTATACATGGGGATCATATCCCCCCTTATGTATTATACATGGTGATCATATCCCCCCTTATGTATTATACATGGTGATCATATCCCCCCTTATGTATTATACATGGAGATCATATCCCCCTTATGTATTATACATGGAGATCATATCCCCCCTTATGTATTATACATGGAGATCATATCCCCCCTTATGTATTATACATGGAGCTCATATCCCCCCTTATGTATTATACATGGAGATCATATCCCCCCCTTATGTATTATACATGGTGATCATATCCCCCCTTATGTATTATACATGCTGATCATGTCTCCCCTTATGTATTATACATGGAGATCATATCCCCCCTTATGTATTATACATGGAGATCATACCCCCCCTTAATCTCCTCTTCTCAAGAAAGAATAAATTCAGTTCCTCTAATCTTTCCTCATAGCTGATCTCCTCCATTCCTCTTATCAGTTTGGTTGCCCTTCTCTGTACTTTCTCCAGTTCCCCAATGTTCTTTTTGTGAATTGGTGCCCAAAACTGAACTGCCTATTCTGCATATGAACTTACTCAATCACTTCTACAGACAGCAGAAGTGGGTCCCCCTCTCCCGCTGCTGCCTTAATTGGCCTCTCCTGCGCGATCGAGGAGCCCACTGAGGATATCTCAAGCAGCATTGGCTTCCCTGAACACATTGAGAGGAACTGATCTTCTTTCTCCCACTGTGTGAAGTCAAAAACCAGAAGCAACAAGAATTTTTCTTTGTTTTCCAGCCATTACTGGCTTGTGTAGCAGCAGATCAATCCAATCTCGGTTTGATCTGCTGCTTTGGTGGCCAGAGGAGAGCTCTAGGTTCTCATAGACCCCATATCTCTCCATAAAAAGGACGTGTCGCGGCCCATGCTATCACAAGGGATGTTGTTTATCCCTTGTGTAAGCAATAAAAGTGATAAAAAAACCCAAAAACGGTACAGTGTGAATAAAAAAGAAATGAAATAACATACATTATGAAAAACACATTTTAAAGCGCCCCCCCCCCCCCCCCCCCCCGTGCTCTGGCGTAAATGCGAATGCACTGGTCCTGCATGCATATGTAAATGGAAATTGCACCACACATGTGAGGTATCGCTGCAAACGTCAGAGTGAAAGCAATAATTCTAGCTCCAGATCTCCTGTGTAACTTTAAACTGGTAACCTGTAAAGGCTTTTAAAGTGTCATCTATGGAAATTTTTAGGTTTGGCACTGTTCCACGAGTGTTTGCAATTTTAAAGTGTGACATGCTAGGCATCTATTTACTCGATGTAACATTATATTTTACATTTTACCAAAAACGTGGGTGTTAAATTGTGTTTGTGTGGATTAATATTCATTAAAGTTTATTTTTAAAAAAAAAAAGCGCTTTTGAAAAACCGCTGCACAAATACAGTGTAACAGAAAAAATTGCAACATCTACCATTTTATTCTTAAGGGCCTCTGCTTAAAAATATATATAATATTTAGGGGTTCTAAGTAATTTTCTAGCAAAACAAATGACGAATTTTACAATGACCTGGGTGGCAAGTTGGTAGTATTCCCAGAAGCTAACAAGACAAATATGAACTTGAAAAAAAATATCTCAGGTTGTCAATACAGGCTCTAATTTTCACTAAACTGCAGTTCCTGGAAAAAGGTGAACCTTTAGCCTGGGTTCACACATATGCGGAGTGGTACATCGCATGTGATTCACGCAGGAACCGTACCGCATTCCTGTACAAATCACATGCGATTTGTGTGCGGTGCGATTGGAGCCATACATTTTCTATGACTCTAATCGCACCGCACCCCCACCAAAAAGGTGCAGGACCCTTTTTTTGGTCCGCACTAAAATCGTATCGCATGGCTATTCACACCTATGCGATCCGATTCTGCACATCGCACCACGTTTTTCGGACCGCTTTCAGGGTATTGTTAACTTAACGTACACGCCCGCAGCGGTTTGCATGAATGGGATGCGATTCTGATGCGGTGCATAATTCGCACTAAAAACGCTGCAAATTCCACAGGGCATCAGTGTGAACCAAGGCTTAATCTGAACATAAAAGATGTTTTCTAGTGATTTTGGCAAAATTGATCTCGCCGTTACATTACAAATTTTGCTGTCCTTTAAAATTCACAGGAGTGAAAACTCTCCACTGAGCTCTTTAGGCAAAATGACTCAAATTGGTGAAATGCATTGAAGTGATTGACCAAGATGAAAGACAGTTGAGTTTTGTAAGGACCTTTGTAAAAAATATATACAGTATATTGTAGTCCAAATTGGACTTTAAGGTATTTGTTAGTTTGTATGGACAGTTCATAATTATTCTATTATTTCATAATTGTCTAACACAGCGGTTCTCAACCTGGGGGTCGCGACCCCTTTGGGGGTCGAACGACCATTTCACAGGGGTCGCCTAAGACCATCGGAAAACACATATTTCCGATGGTCTTAGGAACCGAGACACCGCTCCTGTCTCAGGCGATCTGTGGGCGGGATGATATGCTGCCCCTGTAACCTGGCCACACCTCCGGGATCACTCAACAGCTCCGCCTCCTCGCTGCTGATTGGCCACCGGAACTGTAGCTCAGGAGAGGCACACAGGCGGCCAATCACCGGCGAGGAGGTGGAGCTTGGAGAGGAGGAGCCGAGCGGCAGCGCGTGGAGATCAAAGAAGATCGAGGGAGCTGCAGGAGCGAGTGAAGAGGAGAGCGGCCAGAGAAGGAAGACAGCTGACAGGTAAGTGCAAATTTTGCTGCTGCAGCCAGGTATGCAGGCTGTAGATGGGAGAGGGAGAGAGCGAGCCCAGGCTGCAGCAGGAGTCAGCAAGGTAAGTATCATTGGTGTCAGTGGGAGGGATAGTACCCCATCATTTGTGTCACTAATACCAACGATGGGGCACTATTCCTCCCCCCACTGACACCAACGATGGGGCACTATTCCTCCCCCCACTGACACCAACGATGGGGCACTATTCCTCCCCCCACTGACACCAATGATGGGACACTATTCCTCCCACTGACACCAATGATGGGGCACTATTCATCCCACTGATACCAACGATGGGGCACTATTCCTCCCACTGACACCAATGATGGGGCACTATTCCTCCCACTGACACCAATGATGGGGCACTATTCATCCCACTGACATCAGTGATGGGGCGCTAGTCCTCCCACTGCAAAATTACAGTTATGAAGTAGCAACGAAAATAATTTTATGGTTGGGGGTCACCACAACATGAGGAACTGTATTAAGGGGTCGCGGCATTAGAAAGGTTGAGAACCACTGGTCTAACAGTTACTGTAATTAGTAAAGTTCCAAAGAGGTTTTTATATGGCTCCCAGGGGCGGACTGACCATTCGAGCACTCGGGCACTGCCCAAGGGCCCGGGGTCAGTAGGGGGCCCCATTAAATGCCCCTGGTACCTTTTTTATAGGCTTTTTTGAGTGTGGGCAAGGACACAGGGTCCCCATGATCCCCTATTGCCCGGGGGCCCCCCATGAGTTGTCAGTCCGCCCCTGATGGCTCCTGAAAGCTAGGGGTGTCTTTTCTACTATCCTGGACCTCTTGACTCATTCTTTTTCCTCATGCACACTTGAGCTCAAAAACGCCTGTTTTACAGGCATTTGGGTTTGTTTTCCCTGCCTCTACATGCCACTCACTGTCAGTCTATGTGTTCACACATATTGCAGGCATTTATAGGAGTGTAGAGGCAGAAAAAAACGCATCACTTGCACGTTGTGAAGAGAAGCTGAAAAAAATGCATAGACGCGTGGTAATACTAGGCGCGTTTTATGCACATTTGCGCGTTAATACATTCTAATGGCCAGAATAAATGAATGGTATGGCCAATAGAATGCATTAACGTCAAAGCATGACTGCGCATAAACGTGCATGCAAAAAATGCATCTTTTCTCAATTTCTTTTCTGCGGCTTTTCTCCTGTAGGAGAAAAGACATCTAAAAGAGTACAGTGTACATGTGGTCTTAAAGTGGTAGTAAAGATATTCGGGTTTCTTTACAGCGCTCTGAAGAAATGGCATACCCGTGCTATTCCTTCAGAGCACTGTGCCATGTCCCGAGACTCCCGTGTGCATGAGCGGGAGTGACGTCATCGCGCCTCAGCCAGCCAGATGGTTGGAGCTCACGAACCTGAAAGGAAGACCGGCTGAAGATGGAAGCCTCTACAGTGGTGACAGCACGCCGCTGGAGGGCTTTGTTTTAAGGCAAGTTTTACATAATGTGCAGATATACAATGCATACTACCACATTATGCCTTTACCTTGCAGGGGATTTTTTTTTTTGGATGCAGTTTACTGCCGCTTTACTGTGATTTCCATCACACATATTCTCATAGTGAATCAATTACTGTCATTTAAAACTAGGGTTTTTTCAGCTGGGACATGGGGGGCAAGCAGTTCTGGCACCTCCAGCACTGAATGTATGTAATGGCAAGGGCTGCTGGAGGTCTAGTGAAGCAGGCTGCTGAGGGATACACTGTTGCTTGCTGGGAGGGCTATATTGTTGTGGGGTGTCTATTGTTGCTTGTGGGGGATCTGTTGTTTCTGGGGGGCTCTTATGTTGCTGGAAGGGATCCACTGTTGAGGGATTGGATTACTGATGTTAGCTACTGTGAGATCTGTTGTTGGCAGGAGTCTATTGGGGTTAGGGTGGATCTATTGTTGCTGGGGGAGAGGTATATTGTTGCAGGGGGGTCTGTTGTTGCTGGTAAGAATCTACTGTTGAGGGAAGAGGTCTACTGTTGAGGGCAAGGGTGTATCGTTGATGGTTCCTATGAGATCTATTGTTGCTGGAGGGGTCTATTTATGCTTTGCAGGATCTATTGTTGCTGGCTGCAGGGGATCTATTTTACTGCTTTTCTTGTTATTGATAACACATTCCATATACAGTTTTTATTGTCACAAAGTGGATAGTGGGTGGAACCAAGACACAGTGCTGGGAGGTGGGAAGAGGGAGGAAACAAGGGGTGACTTAGAAAGGGGGAAGTCCTTACAACTATTTTCTGATGAAAAAGGTCCTGTTTAAACCACATGTACTGGGAGGAATAACCTGTAGTGAATGTTTAGTGAATATCAGATTCACTGCTTTATAAATATACCCCAAAATGAAATAAATGATAATACCCTCTAAATAAAGAAAAGAAAAAGTAGACCTTTTATTTTAAAAAAAAAATCTACACATTATTCCTCCTAAGCAGCTCAATGAGAATAATTAGTAAATTAATTTTACCAAAACCACGCTACTGATCGCTGGTCCATATAATATATGCCAATAGGAGCGTATTGGTGTTTGTGCTAGAGCAGGGCTTGAAAAAGCCACTCTCCCGCTCACCGCTCGCCAAATGCGAGGAGAAATGTGTAGGGGCTGTTGAGTGGATTCAGAAGACACCCTTGAAAGATCAGCCTTTTTCAACCTTTCTTCCCTCAATAAACCCGTGAAACGATTAAGGTCTCAGGGAGCCCCAACTAAAAGCTACACCTACATATTATATGCATTATCACTTAATCAGTTGGTTGCATAGAGTTAAGAAAATAATAAACAAAGAATGGGGTGTACCTAAACACCCTCATGCTCTAAATGACAAAATTATCTTCATTGATAATCATGAACAGGGGCGGACTGACAACTCATGGGGCCCCCGGGCAATAAGGGATCATGGGGCCCCTGTGTCCTTGCCCAAACTCAAAAAAGCCTATGAAAAAGGTACCAGGGGTATCTCATGGGGCCCCCTACTGACCCCCCGGCCCTCGGGCAGTGTCCGAGTTTCCAAATGGTCAGTCCGCCCCTGATCATGAAAATAATCATAAATACAAGGAGGTAAAAATTAGGGACAATGCAATTTGTAGTGACCCATTACGTTGGTGATCAGTGTACACAAGTTCTCAAGGAACTTCTAGCCACCTCTGAAGGAGTCCTCTAGTTCAAAGGAACTTTGGTTGAGAAGTTAGGTTAATGTTTTTTTGATTGTGGTTTGTTTCTAATATAATTGCAAGGGGCAAAGCTTGTAAGAAAAAGTATCATCTGGAGTTACTCTTTAGTTCCCAACTACAACCATGTAAACAGCAACCTCATTTTTTTTAACTTCCACTGTTGTGATGATTGGTCTCCTGAAGCTGTTTTCATGCTGGTGTTACAGGATTGGTGATCTGAGTGTGAGATGCAGCCTGCAGTGTCTGTATCAAGAGGAGAACAGAAAGAACATGTTGCTCACTTGCTCATTTCCAGTTTAATGTGACAAACAGAAATGGATCACATTGTACAGATAATTACTTTCATTATAGTGACAATGCAGGCCACATGGAAAATTGCATCAATTTGTGTTAGGGATTTACCATTACTAACATATAGGATGCTAATCAGAGAAAATGAATGTCAGAACAAACACAAAACTGAACAAAGACAGCATAAACCAAGTGTGACTAACCTGTATCAAGAGGAGAACATACAACACATATTGCTCACTTGCTCATTCCAAGTTTAACCTCCCTAGCAGTCTGATTATGTCCATATTTCTGTGCTCAAAGCGGTACATTGTTTTCAATGGAAATTTGTTTTTTTTTTTTATTGTAGGCCTGTAATTCTTAGGAATAACTCACTGAAATCTGTCCGAACAAGAGTCTAGTAAACATCCCGGGTATGATAAAATTTGAAACACAAAATAATAAATTATAATATAATAAATAATCATAAAAGATAATAATATAATAATAATACATTTAATTCAATAATATAATCAAACCAAAAACACTGAAATTTGAAATAGAGCGCCAAGTTCGCACATTGCTGAGTTCAGTCACAAAATCGTTTTCAGTGTCTGATGACGAATTTCCCCCACGAATCATTATCACTCAATTCTGCAAGTGGTTCTGATTTACTATCGCTGTTCTCTAGCTGGTCTAAAACCGATTTTGACCTAAAGGGACACTTTTTGGATGCCATGGACGTTTCTCAGTTTCCAGGCAGAAAGAACAGTAAAAATGCAGGCAGGGCACAGGACAAAGCACTCGGGACAAAATGTATGTGAAATGGTTTGATACAGTATTGTAATACTATAAAATTTTAGTGTATAGAGTGAATGTACAATTTTGACATTTTTTAATTTCCCACTGGTCCCGTCCCCCGTACGTCACGACGCTCGCAGGGAACGGAACCCAGAAGACGGATGCCGGCATCGGCCGGAGGAGATGGCCGGGGACACTGCAGGGGGGACATCGCGGGAGCGCAGGACAAGGTAAGTGAAACAGGGATCGCTGGAGAAGCGCTGCAGGGTATTTCTGAGTGTAGCTCGGGGTTACTGCTTCTGGTACTGAAAGTTAACCCCGAGCTACACTCGGGAGTACCGCCAGGGAGGTTAATGTGAGCTTGTTGGTTGTTAGTCTCCTGAAGTCACAGTGCAAATTATTAGAGCTCCCTCTAGCTGCAGCCTAGTAATAGCATTACTGGGAGGTTTATTCATTTACTTGCTACACTGGTCTCTGATCGATCTTATTGCTCACTTGTTGATGTCATTGCACTACTACACTGTACTTAGTGCATTACTGGCATCCATGTCATCAGGAAGGGATATGGGGGCTGCTAGAGTTACCCACTCACGTTTGCTGAATAATAGAAGATTTGGGACACAATCTGTTGAGCCATCCCATATCTGAACTTCAGGCATACTGCTAAAAACACAAATGAAGTACATACATAGGAGCTGTTTTACCTGTATTTCTGTCCATCCATTTCTACGATTTACACACCTCTGCTTCACCACAGACCTATCTGGCAAGGCAAGGATGTGTTTTTTTCTGTTGCAGTTAAGTAACACTTACAGGTTTTGCCCCTCTTTCAGCCTGTGATTGGACAATGAAATAAGAGGAAAAAACTGATGAGGTCATTCCTCTGTCACTAACTGATCTCAGAATGTTTTATGTTAGCACATGAGCACCACGACACATCTGGTTGGTTCCTTGCACTGCTTCTCCTTCTCCTAATATGAGTTCTGCTGTACAGTGGATTGCAGGAGGCTGATCAGTCAAATTCAAATACAAACACTGATGGCAATTAAAAAATACATTTATTGATGCATAACAAATAATGGAGTTCAACTTTAAGATATTAGTATGTGTTAAAAAAAACCTTTATTTAGAAAAAAAAAAGAGGTAGATATTTTTTAGAAGTTGAGGGATAGTTTTTTTTTACTTGGTCATAGTTCAGCTTTAAACTCTCTTGTAAAGTTTAATGGCTTTTCAGATCCACTTCTACACCTCTATAAATTTCCAGGTTAATAAGACTGTCTGTGTTTTTAATTGTTGTGGTTTGTTTATAGCAATTTCTGGGCTCACCTTCCTGAAACAGTGTGATGTTGAGCTTTTTTTTGTTTCCCCTATGCGTGCCCTTAATTAACCGTGTATGTTTCCTTCCAGTAAACATTGCCTTCACCCTCAGCCTTTTCAGGGTCTGTGGACGCCAGCCAATCAGGGAAATGTTCCAGTTTCAAGATCTAGTACATGCTGGTATAGATAAGGAATTTCTGGAAAAAATGCATCAAGTAAACAGCATTCAACTGTATTGAAATAGAAGTTGACTTTTTCATTTATCATAAAATATGTGCTAAATGTACCACTGAAAGACTGAGTAGAGGGTGAAAATAGGGTGGTACACTCATCACCCCTGGTGCCATGGGTTCATATTCTTCAGCTCCTTTCTCTACACAAGGTTATCTGTGTACAGACAACAGGGCTGCACCTTCCTGCCTAGAGACTGGGCCACACATTCCTGCCCCTGACATGAGACAGGACCTAACCCTTCTGCCCTTGTCATGAAACAGGGCTTCACCCTTCTGCCCTTGCCATAAGACAGGGCTTCACCTTTCTGCCCTTACCATGAGACAGGGGCTCACCTTTCTGCTCTTACCATGAGAAAGGGGCTCACCCTTCCGCCCCTGCCATGAGACAGGGGCTCCCCATTCACCCTTCCCCCTGCCATGAGACAGGGGCTCACCCTTCCGCCCCTGCCATGAGACAGGGGCTCACCCTTCCGCCCTGCCATGAGACAGGGGCTCACCCTTCTGCCCCCTGCCATGAGACGGGCTCACCCTTCCGCCCCTGCCATGAGACAGGGGCTCACCCTTCTGCCCCCTGCCATGAGACAGGGCTCACCCTTCTGCCCCCTGTCATGAGACAGGGGCTCACCCTTCTGCCCCCTGCCATGAGACAGGGGCTCACCCTTCCGCCCCTGCCATGAGACAGGGGTTCACCCTTCCGCCCCCTGCCATGAGACAGGGGCTCACCCTTCTGCCCCTGCCATGAGACAGGGGCTCACCCTTCCGCCCCTGCTTTGAGACAGGGGCTCACCCTTCCGCCCCTGCAATGAGACGGGCTCACCCTTCCGCCCCTGCCATGAGACAGGGGCTCACCCTTCCGCCCCTGCCATGAGACAGGGGCTCACCCTTCCGCCTCTGACATGAGACAGGGGCCCACCCTTCCGCCCCTGACATGAGACAGCGGCTCACCCTTCCGCCCCTGCAAGGACACAGGGCCTTACCTCCCTGCCCCTGTCAGGAGTCAGGACCTCACCTATGTTCCCTTGCCAGGAGTTACATAATTACATAGTCTGGCTGAAAAAAGACAAAAGTCTATCCAGTTCAACCATTAAGAAAAAAAAAAGTTATAATCCTACACCCACAGTTGATCCAGAGAAAGGCAAAAACAAAACCCAGAAAAGCATGATCCAATTTGCTTTTGCAGGGGAAAAAAATTCCTTCCCGATCCCCTGAGAGGCAATCGGATATTTCCTGGATCAACTTTACCTATAAATGTTAGTATCCAGTTATATTCTGTGTATCCAAGAAATAATCCAGGCCTTTTTTAGAGCAATCCCCTGAGCTGGCCAGAACCAACTCTTGAGGGAGTCTATTCCAAATGTTCACAGCTCTCACTGTGAAGAAACCTTTCTGTGTTTGGAGATTAAATTTCTTCTCTTCCAGACGTAAAGTGTGCCCCCTTGTCCTCTGTGATGACCTCAGGGTGAATAGCTCTACACCGAGTTCACTATATGAACCACTGATGTATTTATACATGGAGATCATATCCCCCCCTTATGTATTATACATGGAGATCATATCCCCCCTTATGTATTATATGGAGATCATATCCCCCTTATGTATTATACATGGAGATCATATCCCCCCTTATGTATTATACATGGAGATCATATCCCCCCTTTTGTATTATACATGGTGATCATATCCCCCCTTATGTATTATACATGGTGATCATATCCCCCCTTATGTATTATACATGGTGATCATATCCCCCCTTATGTATTATACATGGAGATCATATCCCCCCCTTATGTATTATACACGGAGATCATATCCCCCCTTATGTATTATACATGGAGATCATATCCCCCTTATGTATTATACATGGTGATCATATCCCCCCTTAATCTCCTCTTCTCAAGAGAGAATAAATTCAGTTCCTCTAATCTTTCCTCATAGCTGATCTCCTCCATGCCTCTTATCAGTTTAGTTCCCCTTCTCTGTACTTTCTCCAGTTCCCCAATGCTCTTTGTGTCAATTGGTGCCTAAAACTGAACTGCATATTCCAGATGAGGTGTTACTAATGATTTGTACCGGGGTAATATGATATCTCTCTCTCTGGAGTCTATACCTCTTTTAATACAAGAGAGGATTTTGCTCGCTTTAGAAGCCGCAGCTTGGCATTGCATGCCATTATTAAGCTTGTGATCTACCAGAACTCCCAGATCCTTCTCCACCATTGATTCCCCCAGTTGTACCCCCTTAGTATGTATGATGCATGCAAATTCTTAGTTCCCAAGTGCATCACCTTACATTTATCAACATTAAACCTCATTTGCTATATAGTTGCCCAACTGAACAGTGCATTGAGGTTGCTTGTAAGTTGGAGACATCCTGTAAGGACGTTATTCCACTGCACAGCTTGGTGTCATCTGCAAAGAAATTAGATTTTTAATCCCAGACCCTATAATGTTTATAAATATATTAAAAAGTAAGGGTCCCAACACTGAACCTTGGGGTACACCTTTAACAACCCTAGACCATTCCAAGTATGAATCATTAACCACTACTCTTTGAATACAATCTTTTTAGCCAGTTTTCTATCCATTTACATATGGATTTTTCCAAGCCCGTTGACTTTACCTTACACATTAGCCGTGTGTGGGGAACGGTGTCAAACACTTTTGCTAAATCCAAGTACACCACGTCCACCGCCACCCTTCTGTCCAAGGTTTTGCTCACCTCATAAAAAGAAATACGATTTGCTTGAAAATTTCTGTCTTTCATGAATCCATGCTGTCTGTCGCATAAAATATTTTTGGGCCCTTACCTCCCTGCCTCTGCCAAGAGGCAGGTCCTCACCTGCCTACCCTTGCCAAGAGACAAGGTCTCACCTCCCTGCCCCTGCCTGGAGATAGGCAGCCACCGCTCTTCCCTTACCAGGAAATGGGGCATCACATCATTACTCCTGTTAGGAGATGGTGCCTCATCTTTCTGTCCTTGATAGGAGACAGGACCTCACTGCCCTGCAAGGAAACAAGAGTCTGCCCTCCCTGTCAGAAGACAGGACATCCCATCCTTGCCAGAAGAGGGGGCCTCACCTCCTTGCCCCAGAGACAGGGAATCTCCCTGTGTCTGTCAGAAGACAGGCCTCCCCATCTCATCTCCCCGCTCCTGAGCTAGTGGTTAAGGTTTTCATAGGTGACATTCACAAATGGGGGAATAATGATTCACCACTTGCTCTTATGCCAGCATGCAGGGGATTGAACATTATCACTGTCTTATCAGACAACCAGAGCTCACAATTCACTGGAGGATCTCAGTTTTATTTTTTTATTTTTTTACGATAGCTTGCTCCTAGATACCCAAAACAGCTTTAAGTCACCTAGGCCCTCTTCTCTTATTCTTGCAGAGCTTACCTTTGTCTCTTCTTATATATTACCATCCAGGACAACTCACTTGACTGAGGCTATAGAGGTTAGGGTAACAGGTGAAATCAGTAAGGGAACTGCTAATGTTATCCTGGAAAACATTGGATTCAAACATATGCATTACAGCATGTGGGAGCAGTGCATTAAAAGAGAAGTATGTAAGAAAAAGAAACATTTATACTCAGCTAGGTGGATGCAGCATCGATCCACAAGCTCTGCAGTGAGAGGTGAGTGATCAAATACTGCTGATCGCTCAGTTCTCCCTATACGCTCTGAGCAGGGAGTGGTGACTATCACTCTCCGGCTCTCTGCTCCCTCCCTCTAGCGCTCACTGCAACGCTGAGCTGTGGAGGGGATGGCTCAGGCTCTCATCGGATTGCCAGCGGCTGGTCTAGGCATCTGAGTGGATCTCAACTATATAGCCGGGAGCTTTCCCAAGCCTGGACTGGCTCAGTAATGGGTCACAGGAGTGCAGAACAAACTGCACTCCTCTGACCTACAGGAGAGATAAAGCCAAAATAGCTTTGGCTATACCTCTCAATAACACGTACAGAATGTATTGCACTGCATGAATGTAAAGGATGTGGCCTTTGAGAAAAACAGAATCAATCACAACTGAACTCATTCAACAGCATGAATTAATTATAATTCTTCTAGCTCATTTATGAAAAAGGTATATTTGCCCCTTTTGCTAAACTCTGCTAAATCTTATTTTTCATTGGGGATCTGAGGTCACTACTGGACCTTGTTATTTTTACACTGTTGTGCACTCCGAGGAGCAGGAAGATATCTTGTAATGTCATGTATAGCACACCTGTCCGTTTGTCTGATTCACTGGCTAAAAGGGATTTGTGGGAGAGGAGAATGGCCTGGCTTTTGGGCATAGAGTGGGCATTGGAAGCTGCTGAAGTATGTACACATACCCAGGGGTGGACTGACAACTCCTGGGGCCCCCCGGGCAATAGGGGATCATGGGGCCCCTGTGTCCTCGCCCACACTCAAACCACACTCAAAAAAGTCTATGAAAGGTACCAGGGGCATCTCATGGGGCCCCCTACTGACCCCAGGCCCTCGGGCAGTGCCCGAGTGCCCAAATGGTCAGTCCACCCCTGCACATACCTACACTTTATATCTACTAAAGGCTTTGTGGGTGATATCACCTTGCATCGGAGACATTTGACTATAAGGCACGTAAAATTTTCTTTTGTTCAGCCAAACTCTGGGCACAAAAAATAAACTATCCTTGGAATGCCTTCCACTTGTTGCAAGGCAAAATTGAAGCTTTATGCAAATATTTTCATATGCTTTGTGTATTTTAGATGAATATCCATTAAGCGTAACTGTCACTTTCAGATAACAGGAGCATCAATCATGTGTGTCAAAAACAACAGCCTGAGATTCAGGGCAAATGTGAAAAGCTGTGTTTTGTTGCTACAATATATCTCATTTTATTATTAGTATAAAATAAACAATTTTATTTTGTTGGTCGCTTTTCCGTCATTAATCATCTGGAATACAAGTGGTTGGTATGGTTTCCTGCATCTTTGCATGTTGTTCTGTTTTACATGCGTGTCTATTAATATCAAAACTCTTCTTGAAGCTGCCAAAAAACACTCTCTACCTTTTCTATTGCCTTAGGCCTGCAAATCTCTGATGCTGTGTGGATGGTGAGAACTTGTTCCTGTACCTTCTGGCCCAACCAATTAATAAGTCTTAATAGGTTATTGTTTAAAATGATGTAGACTTCTAACATAAGTAGGTCAAAGTGAAGTGAAGCAGTTTGCAGATTAGTAGTGCATGGTGTTCAACATTACTCTAGCCAAACCTTAAAGTCTATGTAAAGCCTCACTCAGTGACGTTGTTTGCTAAAAGCTAATAACTGTTTTCCTCTTTTTTTTCACACATTTTGGCATTTCATCATCTTTTCGAGCCTCTTTTAGCCGTTTGTTGTCAATATGCACTTGTTCCAGCGTTGGCTGCAAATCATTACTTAGGATCAGCTCCCTGATAGTGACAGCAGTGGATCATGCCTGCCTGCACAATGTTTGTTGGATTGCTTATGTAACGCTTGCCACCTAGTCTTCATTGACCAGCTAAGTGAGTGCATGTGACAGATTGACAACGTATGGTCACCCAGCTGGAAAACAGTTGTCACCTTATGACAGAAAGTGCCTGAACTAGGACCATCATTGCGGGGTCATCAGGCATTAATTTAAAGTTGTTCTAAAGGAAGAAAGTTTTTTTACCTTCATGCATTCTATGCATGTATGTAAAAAAAAAAACTTCTGCATGACGCTTCCTCCGCCAGCCCCCCGTTATACTTACCTGAGCCTGATCTCGATCCAGCGATGTGCACAATAGCAGAGACTCTGTCAAATCTCTTCCTCCTCATTGGCTCATACACAGAGGCACCCAAAGCCACTCCTTCTGATAGCATCTTCTCTTTTGCATAGAGCATGTTTTGTTTCATTCATTTGTCCTAGCCGAGCTTTATATACAATACATAAATAAGCTAATAGCAAATTACTGAAATGACTGTATTTCTGATGAAAAAAAAAAGTGGGCCAATAATTGCACAGAAAGAAAGCTTCCTCCTGGGAGTGTCTATAGACCCAGCGGATTGCACTAAAGCTCGATGGTCGATTATATCCCGCTGCTCCTTTAATACGACTACTATGGAAGCTGCCTATAAAGTTTTACTACATTGCTATTGGGTGCTGGCCTGTATTGCATGCGCCAATCCCAACTTCTCGGACAGATTCTTCCGCGTTACGGATTGCGAGGTGATGTACTTCATATTTGGTGGTCATGTCCTTGCCTCATTGGGTTCTGGTTAGAGTTTTCAGCCTTTTATACTCCATCTTCCATGTCCCCATTCCGAAAGACACGAAATTGGCATTACTTCACTGCCCAGTTTTGGGTTTGTTTGCTTACCAACAGAACCTTGCGACCTATGTCTTTATTGCCGCTAAACGAGTCATTGTCAAGGCTTGAAGATCACCCTCTGTCCCTTTCTTTAAGGTCAAGCTTACTTTGACCACCCTGATGTTACATGAAAAAATGGCCAGTATTGTTGATGATACTTATGCTAAATTCTTGAAGATCTGGTGTCCTTCGTGGATGTACAAGTTTCCCAATCTATCCCCACTAGGTTTGGGGACTTACTAATTTTTAGTGGTACCTCAGGCTTGCAAGAGAAATAAAACTTACTTCCTTCTCCTTGATTTCCGGCTATCGGATTTCTCTCTCTTTCAACTGGTTCGTAAAAACTGGACCAGAAAACACTGCTAAATCCTTTTTTTTTTCTACCCCTGAATGACCACCAAACACATGAGAATGGGCCAGACACAGTGTGAGATTGAGGAACCACCAGCTGCTGCACAACTTGCTCCCATTCTTTCCTCACGTGATTGATGTAAGAGGGAAGGATTTAGGTTTCTAGAGCACTGGGGTGTCTTTTCATTGGGGTGCAACCTATATGCTAGACATGGTTTGCACCTAAATGGAAGAGTGTCTGCTGTGCTTGGGGAGAGGTTTAAGAGAAGGCTGGAGGAGTATTTAAACTACGATTGGGGGGGGGGGGATTAGAGAGGGGGTTGTTACAGACAACCATTGGAAATGGTACTCTTTGTACTAAAATAAAAAAATATGTAATGCATGTGCAAAATGTAACAATTAATTAAAGTTTTTTTTCTTTTGTTTGATCTTTTGGGCATTACTCCCGAAACATGGAAGCCGCAATAGAACCTTGGTCTCTAGGCAGCATTGTATTGCTTTTATAGTTTCATCGCCTGTTCACTTTCTTGGTTGTTATTGCATGGCACCCTTGTGTGGGCGATAAACTGTCAAAAAGTTTTATTGAAGCGCTGGTCAATACAAAGAAAGAAAGCTGCCTCTTTTCCTCGACCTCCTATTGACACAAGCCTACAGCATCTTATGCTAAATCCAGCACCAAGTACAGTAAAACAAAAGTGGTGCTTGAAATCAAGATCAATTCTTGTTTTCATTAAGCCACGCATTCAGCTTACCAGACTCCCCCTAGTACTGAAATATCTCTGATGACAAAATATCTTGACTAGTTGAAATTCTTCTGCTGAGACACTGGTCACATGATATAAGCTAAGAGGAAGATAAGTGTTGAGGCGGAGCTGCTGTCTGGACTTCTTTGCTTTAATGTCACTCCCACAAGAACCGTCGGAGACCATCTCCATCAAATAGTGTAGTTGTGCTAAATTCACCAAAACATTAGCATTTCTGAAATAAATGTAAACTGCAGAAAATATATATTATATGCTACACTATGACTTTTAAAATTTAGGGTTGTCCCAGCAATTCAGGAAGCATGTCATTGTCCTACGGATTAACTGCTGTTGTTGGTAGATACACTAAAATGTTGGTAATGCATTATAAAAGAGGACAAATGGCCTAGTTATTATAGGTCTGTACAATACAACCAGTGAAAAACCATAGGAATGACTTTGTGTGCACACAAGGACTGAAAAAGCAGGAGGGTTAAGTATAAACACAAGTTCTCGGCTATTACATGAGATAGGAAACAATGAAGCAAAGTATTCTCCCTATTGATTAAACGTATGTAAAGCCCCATTAATTGAGCTTCTGTTGACCCCATTCATGAGAAAGTTCCCAGATTGCCTACGGCAAAACTCTTTATTGACTAGGACTCATTTAATAATGGCTCAGTTTCAAGCAGGGGAACAAGCTGTGTTTCATGGCAATCAGAACAATAGCAGAAGTTGTTGATGGAAGAATTCTGGAGCCCAGCGTTCTACAAAAGTAGGTTCTCTCATGGCCAAACAATTAACTAGTCTGTGAAGGTTTAGATTTCATGATAACTCCAAATATAAGGAATACCAGGCAACTGTATCACGCTTTGTAGTGTTCATTATTAAAAGGACCTGTAATACATAGAGCTTTATTGTGTTGAGGAAAGGTTTGCCTGTTTAACCTGTTTATGCCGTAGTTCCTTGTTAACTAGAATTAATATTTTAACTAGTTCAGAGAGTAGAACATGACCTTTTGGCTCAATATAAAGGTATACCATTATGTAAATATTGAACCTTTTAAGTTATTTTATACATAGCACATAAATATGTGACAGCATAGGGTGGCTGTTCAACTCACAACAGTCCATTGGTTTCCTTTCCTGGAACACAATCTTACCTCGGGATTGATGTAAAACAAATTAGGTCTTCTCTTCTTTTTTTCTTCACTATTGGAGTAGAATAGGCCTGTCACTCAGGGACAAGTGAAGTATAAAGAAAATAAAGCTTGTCCTTGCTCAGTATAATTTTTTGCCCCATCAACCCTGAGCTTGGGTAGATATGGTTTAAACCAGCCATACATGGATTGAAATTCGCCACTTCAGACCAGTTCTGATCCATGTATCGGCTAGCTGGTTGTACATATGTCGATCTATCTATTGCTATAGCTGGCAACAATGATCATTGTATTCTGCCGGCAGGGAAGGCTAACCACCGTCAGCATACAGTAGCACAGTGGAAAGGATTCCCCCATTCACACTGAAGGTGTGGATGGAAGAATCAGATAATTTTTTTTATGGTGTTTATTTTGCATGTTTAAATTTTTACAAAAAATCCCATGGATCTCTATGGGAATACAACATATAAGACATAATGTGTAGACTTCAATAATCCACACGCACTCAATATCTTTTCCACTGCAGAGATCAATTTATAAGATGTTTATTTTGGATCATGCTAACACCACTGTCTGTAATTCTTTGTAAATTGACTTTTAGACCTTATGCATTATACTTTTAGGAAATATATATATTGCGTGTGTAAGTATATATTTTTCTTTTCTTGTTGAAAGGCCACTTACCTTTCAACATTGGGTATGTACCTTTCATTGACTGGTGACAAAGACTACTCCTCTTGCAAGGCACCTTCTGTCAGTGGAATAAGGGCCTCTTTTCTACCTCTTCTCCCCCAAAAGGGATATGGGGGTTTGTGGGGGAATATATAGGAATCTTGGAGCCTTCTTTATAATAAGGAGCACCGAGATGTCCACCCCTCCCAGGGGAATGAGTGCAGAACACATCAGTACCCCTTATTACTCATTTCTACAAAAAAATTAAAAACAATGTTAAAATGTAAACCATTTGCCCAATGTAAATCCATAATCAATTGCATTGTCCAGCGATGTGAATCCATCCTCAATCACAATAACCCACCTCCCTATGATGATCCCCTGACCCCCAATG